ATAATCAAATGCATGACACTTTAAAAATGTCAAGGTTTTTAAGACATGATGAGTTGGGAGTCCATTGTAGTCAGGATAGAAGTTGGCGAGGGCATAAGGAACTCTGGTTGATAGAAGAGGATTATCAAATTATTTTTCCCAATCATATATTAGGGCATACTTCAATATGGCTTAAAGATGTTCCGCAGCCTGATTATTATGATTTTCATATATCTGAAATTCTATATCGAGATACTATTACGAGGCAAATTTAAATTTGACCAGTAAAGTTTTATCATCGCCACTCTTCTGAATATATTATTTCACCAAACCCACCACTCTTGCATAATATGAAATCGTACAAATTCATGATTGATATTTATAATGATGACTTTGGAACTTATCGCAATACCTATCACTTATTAGAGGGCATCTATATTCAAATAGGCAATATGCCTTTTAATTTAAGAAAACAATTAAAAAACCACTTTATTGTTGGATTTGTACTATTTGGTGGCCACTTTGATGATGCAATGCGCCCTCTACTACAAGAACTCCATCAATTGGAAAAAGGTGTTATTATGGATATGAATAGTGAATCAGTTTGGGTAATCACCTCAGTTGGGCTAGTAACAGCCAATTTACCACAGGTAAAAATAAGTTTAGTTTAGTTTAAACTAACCAAATTATAGTTTTGGTCTAAGCAAGGTTTAAAGTAAAGTTTAGATATGTAATTTAAAATTATAGTTTGAGAATTTACGAATAGAATAGTTTAATTTTGTATATTAAATTCAATTACAGTTGCACTCCCATATAATCACATCATCAGGACCTATAAAAAAAGTTTTTATATAGAAGACACACTTAAAATAGGCTTATATAGAAAATTATTTTTATATATTTAATAGTAGTTTATTCAAAAAATAAGTGTGTTTATAAACCTGATATGCTTATATAAGAGGTGATTGTGTGGAAGTACGACTGTATGTTGTGTTTTACTATAAGTTATATTAATCAAAGCAACCTGTATTCTAGGAAAATGAACTTAGAGATGTTAAAAAACAGGATGCTATCTACAGATGCCAAAATTGTCTTGCTCCGAAGGATCAACTGACTGATACCACCTTTGAAAGAATATATTCTGCATGTTTTCATCATATCACCAAAGAGCATTTTATTGAATTACAGGCATTAATAAGTCAAGGTGCAACTAAATTAGAGATTAAAGACTTTACAAAACATAATGGTCTCTAATCGAAACCAGGAATTTTGTCAACTTTATCTCGAGATCATCATTTACAGACTCCTCAAGATGTCTATCATGCGGTTGCTAGCAAGATTCAACGATTATTAGAATGTACTCTTAACTTATTAAATGAAAATGGAAAGAATCAATTTTTAAAATACTGGCAATATTTTGAAAAGCTCTTTATTAGGCATTGTATGCCTAACTCTATTACTCACCTTAAAAGTTTCATGTTTTCAAATGCATTACAATTGTTTTTGGTAATGCCATTTATTTTAAGATGTTTTCTAACACCAGAATGTATTATTTTAAATGAGCTTACAGCTTTATGTGATCGATTGTCATCATCATCTAATGATCGAAGACGATCTACCAAACAAGTGATTAATAATATCATCTTATGCTGAATAACTGTAGCAGATACTGTGGTATATTGTTTTAAAATAAAGCTGACCCAAAATGACCTGAATCATCTTCAAGGTGCACTTTTAGAAGAGCATCACATATTAACAAAAGTATTGTTTCATTTTTAATACATGATATTTATGTAATAAATAGTAAAATTCTATTTTAACCTAAGTTGGAGTCATCTGTTATATAATTTTTATTAATTATATAATTTGACCACTAACTTATATAATATCGGTGACTCCTACCCAGCGAAAGTAGAATTTCTCTAATAAATATTTGACCTTTTTTAAAATATTTTTTAATGCTCTTTTATAACAGTTATTTCCCAACGATTTTAAAAACCTACCAAATCTTCATATCAATTTTCATTTAATGCAAAATTGCAAAAATTATGCAACATTAGTCAATACATATTGTGTTGTTAAAGAAATGGTACACAGACTTTCCAAACAAGCTGTCCTCAAAACCAATCAAAAAAATCTTGAATTGGATTTAATATGCCATGCCAATGTTCTACAAGCCATTCGGTATTTAATGGATGATGGAATTAATGATAGATTTAGTGAAGGTAATGTTGGAAACGGTTTGAGATGTATTATTACAGATCAACATCTTCAACCACTTCTTATGAGATGGTATATAACTGAAGATTTATATCCTAAAAATATAACTGAAGAAGGTAGCTTCTCATTAATTGTATTTATTTATTTATTTATTTTTATATTAAATTAATAAATTTTATTTTTATTATATTTTTTAAATTACTTTTTTATATTTAATATTTCCTAGAGACAGGTATAATTTCAGAAGACTCTAGAATTATCAACATTCGGGTTCAACAACGGTTAACTAATAGTGAAATTCAATCATCACAATTAACAAGTCACTTTGATAATAATACTGCTTTAAAGAATAGTCTTTTTGCAGCATATAATGAATATATAGGACAATGTAGATATATAAAAACACAGTTTATAAAACTTTACCGGTATATTCGATATACGCTTTTAGATAACAATGGAGAATTCTATGCACATATCAAGCTTCATATTGGTGACATTGTACTTATAAAAGAAGATGATGATGAGTCTTATGCTATTGTCAGAGCAATTTTTACTCATAAGTATAATGATGGATTTGTATACTCTTTTGTATAGATTGATTAGTTAAAAAATACTGGGTGTACTGATTCTTTTTTAAAATGTTTAATCTTTAAAAGACAGACAGATTCAGATATGAGATGGCATCATATTTATCCAATTTCAATTCTCAATGACATTCCCTCAGTACACTTTGTACATGCATGCCATTTGTCTTGTTCAGCAAGCTCTTATGATACTACCAATGTCAAATATCTCATAAACAAATTTTTTTATAAGATGGTTTAAAGAAAGATGTTTTGGTGATGGATTAGTTTCAAAATGTAAGGTATTACCATGGCATAATATAATAGTAATTGGGTTAATGTAAAATTTTTTTATTAAAAATAATGTTTAAAGCAATAACCCAAATTACGTAATATCTTAGCACTATTATACTTTCCAAAATGTTTTATTTTTCTGAAAATCTTTTTTGTTTTTTGTGCTGCTAATAGAATAATACTACACACTAATCTAATTTGTACATACTGATTTAATCATATGTAACATTTATGGTGAATTGTTAAAAAAAGCTTGATATGCTCAAAATAACCATTGTATCATAAACTTATTTTGTTGAATTATTCTTTTAAAAACTACTATAGGAAATGTTTTGTTATCAGTTATATAAACAAATATTTAATATTGAGGTGTTCAGGAAAGGTTGCATATGTGTAATGGTAGAACAAACAAATCTGATATAACTAAAAAATATGATTCGAGAATTGGGTATCTTGTGCTTTGTCTATGTAAAAGTATGTGAATCTTGTGCATAGTGACATAATTTATATAAATGAATTTGCAAATTTTTGGTATTTATCAATGATTGTGTGCTCATTTCTAGCATTAAACATTTAAAAAAAGTGCTCTGTGCACATTATGCATATAGATTTTATGCATTGATTCCACTTACTCTTTTTTTTACTATATCACTATTAGTTTCTATATATCTATTATAGTAACAATGAGATTTCAATTTCTTTTTGGTCTCAGATTAATTCTGATTACAGGCTTTTGTGATTATGTGTAACAGTTATCTACTTATAAATATAGCTTTATGCCAATCACTGATATTTTTACTTTTTTCTCTCTAACAATTATAAAGATTCACTAATCTTCTCCCAAGTTACTATTGGTCAAGAGTAAATCGCATTTCTAATTGGATAAAATCAACAATCTTTAATAACATAATACATCTACAGCGAATTAGAGAACAAGATCAGGTGTAGCCTAAAAATTAAAAAAAACAATCACTTATTCTTAAGGAAATTATAACAATGATTACTAATCATTTTCATTGTTAAAATTTTCTTTTTTGAATTATACTACCATTTATACTAACAATTGAGTCGAGATATTTTCATAAAAATCACAGAAACAAAAAATATAATGGGAAAACCAAAGTATCACACTCCTAATAGACTTTTTATAAAACTAATAAGTTGATTTATTTTGGAGCAGCAGGTAAGGATTTACAGTTTCGTTTTATTAACATGTACATTTAGAATATCTAATATGTATATATGCTTTAAATTTATTAAACTCACTAAAGCCTAAATCTGTTATACCCACACAGTCCTCTTAGAAATTGATTCTAAATCAGCTCATATTTAACATCCTTATTTTTTATTACCATTGTAAACATTTAAACTGCAATTACAGATTTATCAATTATGATTCTTAAATAAGTTGACACCTTTTTTGCTCTTTTTCTCAATTTGAATTGGTTTGTCAATTATGAAATTACGATTTGGGTCTTTTATATAACTTCCATTATATAATAAAAAAAGAGAAAATAAAAGACTACAAATTTTATTTATTACTACTAAGTTATTTTCTAAATAGATATTTGCACAATTCTATAAACTTAATCAACCCTAAAAATATTAGAGAAAAAGAAAATTTTAAGAGTCTCATTATTTTAAAGCCACAGTAACTCCTTTCCTGTCATATGTCCCTTCACCTATCATACCTCTGGATTCAATAGCTCACAACCTAGTGATATTACAATATTTATAATATGATAATTAACTTCAGAATCATAAAACTAATATATTCTATTTATAGCTGTTACTTTTTAAATTTTTAGTTACTTACACATGATTAAGATTATGGTCTACAAGAATCTGAACTAGGGTTTTGAACTTTTTCTATAAGATTTGTATTTACTTCATTCAACTATTACTCTGTTAAAAAATTTTAAGTCCAAGCAAAACCTTATTTCTAGCATCAGTCATATTCATAGATCTTATATAACAATCACTAATTATGATCATTTATCATTAATTAGCAGCACATAATCCAGGATTATTATACTATATACCATATTTATTCAGTTACCAACTTCTATTTTATTAATAAATCTCTAGAGGGGTTTGTCTAAGTTGAGTATATTTGTTTATCGACTAATCTTTATTTTATTAATTAATCTTTTATTTTATTAATTAATCTTTTATTTTATTAATTAATCTTTTATTTTA